CTTTTTCATCTAAAAAAAACTGGTGCCTCCAGGTATAGGATGCAGTGCTCTGACATAGTGGCCAATCGCTAGGAGCAATTGCTGTCACATGATGAAGGGGGTTACATCATCACGCCCTCGAGGCTCTGACACCACCAGGTATTTCACAGTGGATATGGCGCAGGAAGGAGTGATGGAAGAGCGCCGTGAGAGTAAATATAACTGAGATATGGGTTAGTCTTTAAAGAGACCCTGTTACTTTGTCTTTAAAGGGTAGGCACATGCATTTACCTTAGAAAATACTTTATTACCTGGGGTCTAGGTCTCATATGCGCTGGATTAGCCACTGTTCTGTAGGAGGCTGAGTACGATGTTCTAGGCAAAACAGTCCCTGTATATAAGACATATAATAATAGGTTAATAATACATTTAGAAGGCAAAAGTGGCTCTCTTAATATACTGCAGCACACCATAACATTTAGAGGGTTATTCACTAATGAGCCAAAGGATCCAGCCGTAGCTTCAGATCATCCTTCGGCTCACTTTGGCCGCCGGAAGCCCTACGGTTCACTCGAACCAAAGGGCTGTTGTAGGGGCTATTTTATAGCCCCTACAGCAGTCGAAGGCAGCCAAGCCGCTCAGCTGTCCGAACCCATACGCTTTGGTTCGGCTGAGCCGTAGCAACACGTGAAGCGATGAGAAAGGTTGGCCGAAGGGCCGACCGTTCTTCACGCAAATCACAGCTGGGCAGAGCCAGCTGTGATCTCACGGCTCGCTCTGCAAAAGAAAGTTCAGTGATGAAGAATCGCTGAAAAAGGTTGTTACCAAAATGACTGGGACAGGTATAAAGGTAAAACATGATTTTATTGGTATTTCATTAAAATTGAGACAGCACCACTACTTTGTCTTCCTTTACAACGTTAAAAGAGCGACAAACGTTTGTCTATGGCTATCATGCACACTCACTTTCACATCAATGGGCCCCACACACACATTGCAAGAGTGGATCAACACAGGAAAAAGCGAAACTGGGGGGAAAAAAGGATTGCTTGTGTTTCAAAAACAGATCATGAGTGAGGAAAAAAACAAAGTTTTAAGGAATCAAAAATTTCTTTCCCCAAAGTCCTGAAAATAGGAAGTCCTTCTGTGGTCACTTATTGTATTATTCTTTATATTGTTGCTGTATTGTACCAGCAGTCTAGAGATATATAACGTATCTAGTGTTTCGCGTCTCAGAATTCCGGTCAGTGGACTAATAGTTACTAGATCTGTGCCGGCTGAGATGAAACAATGGGGGTGATTTACTAACCTAAACACACACACACACCAGGTGTGTGTGATTTTCACACAGCAAAACGTATTTATCAACCAAAAAGTCTCTAAAAGCATATTTCCACTAATGCCATATATGGAAAAATCATGCACATGATGCATATATAATGCTGCTTCACAGTTTAGACAAAAATGGTTAGCTCTTGCATTTACATTCCTTGCATTCATCAACGCAAGCAACACAACATAGAGCTAATTTACCCAACATCACCTTGGAATTCATTCAGGGCTTTGCACAACACACCTGCTGGGTGTGTACACATTACAAAGGTGTTTAGATTCCACCCATAGATCATGCTGGGAGGGAACACACTGCAGAGGTGTATACACATTCGTGGTGTGTTTATAAGGTTAGTAAATCAACCCCAATGTGTCGGCCGGTAACGTGTGGATTGATGCGCTGTCAATATTGACGGCATGTGGGTGAATTTCACCCTTATTGCTGTTGTTTGTAATGAATGCCGTTGCGAGACTCAGTACTACAGGCTCTTCTTAATTTAAAGATACAGTTCATCAGGGAGACTCCATATATCTGTATTGTGATGATCAAATCGATCGGTACTCACATATTGCTGTCTTCAATCCCGGTATGGTAAGAGTTTCCATGGTATCTCTGATCCTTGCTGGATATTTGTTGCAGATGTCCCAATAGGAGTTGGCTTATGAGCTGAGTTGAGTCTTCGAGGGTTCATAGAGGGAAATCAAATCTGATCTATGATATAGTCCCCATCATTTCTTGGATGACCCTGTGGAATGTTGCAGCGTGTGTGGTCCCGCAGACTCACACAACACACATGCCGAGTCGATGCGTCTTTCCCCGTCCCTTCGGGGCTTCGTCAAGACTTGATGGGTGTAAGGGAGAAAACGGTTGTTTAAATTGCCCATTCACACCTGTATAATTACAGGTTCCATCTAGAACGTGTGCTTAGTACGTGAGATGTTTAACAGCCACTTCATTCAAGCTGTACTCTCTTCTTCCATATAATGGGAGACAAGGGAGTGTTAAACCATTCATTAAAATAAAATGAAAAAATGTGTTTTTCAAACAAAAACAACCCATCACCATTTATAATAGAATGGAGATTTTTGCGTTTGGAAATCATTATCTGTTCTTTGTTTAGAGTTAGAATGTCCATGCTCAAATTTAGAGAAAAACATTTAAATTGAGTTCATTGTTCAAACCTCTCGGGGACAGGGCATCTAACTTATATATCCACATCTCTCTGTAACAGGATGTTATCAAAGTCTCCTCTCCTTGATGGTAAGTTTAGGGCATAAATGCCTTTAACTCTTAGACCGTCAAGTGAGGAGTTGTGGTATTCTGTGAAATGTACAGCAATCGCGCTATCTGTATCTTTGTTTTTAATATCCCTAAGATGCTCGCCTATGCGAATTCGTAATTGACGTTTAGTTTTGCCTACGTACAGTTTATTACATGGGCATTGTAGCTGATATATCACTCTACTAGTGCCACAGTTAATAAAGTGAGAGATGTGGAATGATTTGGTACCATCAGAATTATGGAATTGTTGTGTCTTGTCTACGAAAGGGCAGACTTGGCACCTTCCGCACGGAAACATTCCTTTGGTTTTGGGATGACTTGGGAAAAAGGATGTATCCCTGTTGGGTTTATATTCAGACCTGACCAACCGGTCTCTTAAATTTTGGGCCCTACGTGCAGTAAGGAGGGGTCTAGGGCCTACGATTTCGGTGAGTGTAGGGCATAGTTGAAACACATGCCAATGCTTGTCCAAAATTTGTTTAAGTTTATGCCAACCCGTACAATATTGATCATCCTTACGTATTTTTCATTTGTCTTTTCCCTTTTCTCACCTCCCAGTATTTCCTCCCTTATTTTCATGCCAACCCTGGTTTTACTTTTTCTAAGCCCGATTGCTGTACATTTCACAGAATAACACAACTCCTCACTTGACGGTCTAAGAGTTAAAGGCATTTATGCCCTAAACTTACCATCAAGGAGAGGAGACTTTGGTAAAATCCTGTTACAGAGAGAAAAAATGTGGATATATAAGTTAGATGCCCTGTCACCGAGAGGTTTGAACAATTAACTCAATTTAAATGTTTTTCTCTAAATTTGAGCATGGACATTCCAACTCTAAACAAAGAACAGATAATGATTTCCAAACGCAAACATCTCCATTCTATTATAAACGGTGATGGGTTGTTTTTGTTTGAAAAGCATTCTTTTTCATTTTATTTTAATGAATGGTTTAACACTCCCTTGTCTCCCACTATATGGAAGACAAGGCACAAACATCTCACGCACTAAGCACACGTTCTAGATGAAACCTGTAATTATACAGGTGTGAATGGTCAATTTAAACACAGCCTGTGTGCCAATATGGACGGCACACAGGCTGATTGAAGTTTGTAAACCGATGTATCCTTTAACTACTCATTTAGGCTTCTAATCGATCTACCATTGTGAATACCTTTGCACTCTATTTTGCTATTTTTAAACAATAAAGAACCATCTGCACTAGGGTGGGTGCCCTCCTCTTTTTTTTTTGTAATGCCTTACCTGTTTGAACGGTTGAGCTGGATGCTGTGGTACTGCTTTGGTCAGTGGCGGAGCTAAGGAACAAAGGGGCCCTGGTGCAAGATTTTTTTTTGGGCCCCCCCCCAAAAAAAAACCCACAAACACAGCGTTCTCCTTCCGCAGGGCTCGGCCGGCTGTCACTTTCTCTCCTCCGCGCTGGGAGACGGAGCAGCGTCCCACGGGGGGAAAATAAAGCATGGATGCACCGCTGTATCAGCAGAAAAATTGCACTTTTGGCATTATGCCAAAAGTGCCATTTTCGGCCAATATGTTTTGGCGGCCAATATATGGTGCAGCCCTAATATTTACAGCAATGCAGAATGGCACACCTGGACTCCTTCCCCCTTCCCTTCATTAGGGTCCGGTGACGTCGATGTCCGTGACGTCACCGGATCTCCGAGGAACTCCCGGAAGACCCGGAAGCCGGCGGAAAGGTGAGTTCCGATCAAAATAATTTTGATAGATCAAAAAAATTAACGATTAATCGAAGGATTAATCGTTAATTTCCACAGCCCTACTTTATACCTTTCCCGGTCATTTTGGTAACAACCTTTTTCAGCGATTCTTCATCACTGAACTTTCTTTTGCAGATTTTTTTGTGTTACGAGACCGAGTAGACGTTATTATACGCACAGCGTCAATATGGGTTATCTCCGGAATACCTCTGCAAAAATGTTTTGGTTCTCACGGCTCGCTCTGCCCTGTTGTAATGACAGATCAGAGTCCCCAAATGACCTGGGCATGCTGATCTGTCATTAAACAATAACAACTAGGTGGAGCTGGCTGTGACATCATGGCCGGCTCCGCCCAGCTGTTATTTTTTGCCCGGGACCTGCTAGAAGACTCTGGCAGGTGCTGGCCAATAGGAAACAGTTGGACGGAGCTGGTGGTGATGTCACCGCTAGCTCTGCCCAATTGTTTATATTTTGCCGGCATCTGTCAGATTCGACATTATGCGGCTGGAGGTTGGCGTTTGTCGTTTTTTTAAATAATTTTTTATTTATCTATTATTTTCATTTTTTTATTTTGTTGAGTCGTCGTTGACGCAGAGCATGTTTGGCTGACCAAAGGCGGCCGATGTCCAGCTGAAATCAGCCATACAGAGGCGGAGTGATTGGCCCAATGTCATTCAGGCTCTGTTCACTTCTGCTCGGTTATTCACTTGGCTGCCTTCGGTGGCTAAGTGAATAACCTTCTTAGTGCTAAGAAGACAATAATCAATTCATTAAATGTATTCAATAGAATCAGTTTTCAAATATAGAGCTGTTCTTATGCTTAGCACAAAATCATGTGTATTACTGTACCAAATAACAAAGATAAATATGGTAGGCAGTTATGACATTTAGCGTCTACTTAAACATTTATAATTTTACAAATACTGCACAAACACAGAGCATGTTAAAAAGGCATTCTATTACTTTGCTTTAATTTACTCATTTTAAAGGGTCAAACAACCTAACTCATATTTCCGCAATGGGCATTGGTTGGTTGATATATCTGCTTGCTTCTTACATCTTAACTTTGTCTCCACCACCATGGCACCATTCATTTTGCATGATATGTAAGTAAAAAAAAAAACGACAGGGAGAGTAAGAGCCCCTAACGATGTAGATAAACTGTGTAAATAGGTGGAGCTGAGAACTTACATGTTGAGATCTTGCTCGAGGGTGAGAACTACCAAGCAAAGCTGACCATACAAGAAAATAAGAAAGAATTTGTGTGCTAGCTATCTAATCATCCAGGAAACATCACACACCATAGCTGCCACTAAACTTTATCTTCATAATTTTCTGTCATGCTTCCAGTTGGATTCAGAACAAATCTAGAATCCAAAAAGTTTTATTCAACAGTGGATTGCTTGGAAAACAAAAACAAGCAAGGAAAGATACAACTGTAGGCAAGGGGAAATCAAGTCAAAATCACCAGAGGACTATTATAACAAACAACTAAGATATCGGTCCTAACTGGATGCAATGCCAGCCCATTATTGGAATTCTATTAATACATGGATTCACTTTTGAACTTTCAGACCCACATTAATTCTGTGCTACATCAGTAAGTAAATCTTACTTTCCAGTAGATACGAGGAGCTGTCTGTTTTCCCAAGCAGGAAAGGCACTGTGGGAAGCCGGCTTACAACTGAGCAGTCATTTCTGAAGATTCCAAGTGCAGTAGATGGTCTCTCCGGAGTGAGATGAACAACTATTTTACACTTTCCCTAGGATAAGAATGGAGAATTAGCTGGTTTCAGCTATAACCTATTTAGCAGAGTTCTTATGTTTTAAAAAAACTTAATCAAGTAGAGTACAATGAAGAAATGTCAAAAAGTTTTCTAGATTCTTCTGGAAGCTTAAAAAAAACCTAAATGTTAAATGCAAATACAGCTGCTTTGTAAATATGTGGCCACATATCCCATTAGCATATTTAAGGTGGAGACCAATCCAGTAAGGGTGAATCTTTTCAGTTCCAGCACTGTGGAAAGAGCAAAATTATTATGCAGCCTCTCAGTCCGACAGCCAG